TTCCTCCCAACAGAGTGGAAGAAGTTGGGGACCGGATCTCAGTGGGCCCCCCCCAACCGCCTTGGGCCCCGGGGCAGCCGCACCGGCTGCACCGCCGGTTGTTCCGCGCCTGGTGATAACAATTACAACTAAAAGAAGGTACATAAGATATTAAAGGAGAACTATGAGGTGACTGCCTGTAGGTGATCAACACCAGATGGTGATAGGAATCGTTGCCGAATTCTCTAACTATTGACACTTCACATGCGCGCCTATCGGCTCATCAAATTCTATAACCTAGTACAAAGTTCTATTTGCCGTAGGTTATAGGAGCTGATAGTCGCACAGGCGCAGTGCCGAGTGTGCTTATAGAATTTGACGGCACCACGCAGGCGCAGTGGCAATGGAGATTTCTATTTTCTAAAAGGAATCCATGAGCACGCGGACTAGTTCCATCTGGTGTAGATCTCCTACTGGCAGTCACCGGATGTGACATCACCAGTCAGAGAACTCGACAAGTCGGACCTTTCGATGGAACACCGGCACAGCAGGTCTGCCCTGACAGATCGGAGGGAGTTCAGCAAGCTTCCAGATGCGGATCTCTCCTCTGATCACTGGACCCAGATGTGATATGTGTTACATCACTTCCGGTGTCACTGGGCACGTTCTCCGGCTCTAAGACCCAGGAGAAGACGCTGGTGAAGCAGATCTGTGCTTCCTCTGCTTCTTTGGGGTCCCTAGGTGACATTAGGGGTCTGAAAGACACCCGATGTCTCCATAAAGAGGACCTGTCACACCCTATCTGCTATTACATAGTGGGCTTGTTATCCCCCTATGTGATAGGGGGCTTTCAGAACATATATCATTGTTTGGGGGTCTGAAGCTGTTTTCCTAGCCGAAAATTCAGATTTTATCGTCATGCAAATAGTAGGAAATTGCTCCGGGCAGCAAGTGGTTAATGGGCGTTATTGTCACATTGTAACAGAAGCGATGACATCATCAGAGAGGATTTAAAGAGCCCCAACCGGCCGCCACACAGCCAGCGAGCCAAACAGCTAGCCGTGATCGTATAGTGGTTAGTACTCTGTGTTGTGGCCGCAGCAACCCCGGTTCGAATCCGGGTCACGGCAGTTGAGCTCGCCAAATTGTTTTTTTTCTCGCAAAAATATATTAGTAATTATAGTTTGTTGCAGTTAATGAGCTTGCTGCCGAAAAACAAAAATTAAGTTTTTTTTTTAGTTTTTCAGTTAGCTGAGTGTGTCTGAACTCTTCTAATACCCCCAACAGGTCCTGTCTGCATTACTTCCTTTACCTTGCACAGGCGACCTTGAGCCATGTGCGGAATGAATGGATGGATCAGCAGCACTCACATGTCCCCCCTCCCCTCCCCCGGGATGGACTACAGTCTGAATACAAATCAGTAAACTAAACCTGAGACTGTAGTCAGGGGGGGGAGGAGCTTGGAGCGGTGACTACTTTACAGCACACACGGGGACCATGGGGAACAGACGTAGCCCCCCTCCAGAAGGAAGGACAGTGTCAGAGATGATTGGAGGATCTACAGCCGAGTGACACAAATAAGATACATTGTTGTTCATAATTAAGGTTCTTGAATTGATTTTTAAGATTTAAAGGAGAACCTAGGGGTTCAGTGTTTTCCCCCATAGTTCTCCTCAGGGTAACAGGACATATACTAGCGTCCTCCCGTGATCCAAAGCTCAGTATATAGGGAGCTACAGCTCGCGGTATACTGAGACCGCCGCAGCCGGGACGGATCCCGACATTACTGTCGAGATCCACCCACCCGCGTGAGTGACAGCTGGCTCTGCCTATCTAGAGGCAGAGCAAGCTGTAACCGCCCCCCCTCCCCCGTCCGTTCGGCCAGTCAGCGCTGGAGGATCGGAGCGGGGAGAGGGGAATGCACATCACTCGCTGCAAGTGGTTATACCAAGAACATGCCTGTTGCTGCCGTGTTCTTGGTATCTTTTAAAACAGCCGGCGATTGCTGTTTCCGTGCAAGTGATCTAGCGTCTGTACAGGTGACGGATCGCTTGTGCGGTGCGGCGCTGTGCACCCCTCCCGCCTCTGACACGGCCAGTGACGCGGCTGCCATCCTCGTGCTCCGCTGTCCTCCATGTGAGCCCGGGACCGGTGTTCTATCGAAAGCTCCAACTTGTCGTGCTCTCCGACTGGTGATGTCACATCCGGTGACTGCCAGTAGGTGATCAACACCAGATGGTGCTAGTGCGCATGGCTATGGAATCGTTGCCGAATTCTCTAACTATTGACACTGCGCGGCAATCTGCTCATCGGATTCTATAACAGAGGTACAAAGTTATATTTGCCGTAGGTTATAGGAGCCGATGAGCCGATAGCCGCGCAGGCGCAATGGCGACCGTGACTATCGGCTCATCGGATTCTATAACTTAGCTTAAAGTAATGTTTACCGTAGGTTATAGGAGCCGATAGCGGCGCAGGCGCAGTGCCGAGTGTGGTTATCGAATTCGACGGCGCCACGCAGGCGCAGTGGCAATAGAGATTTGTAAAAGGATTCCATAGCCACGCGCACTAGCTCCGTCTGGTGTAGATCTCCTACTGGCAGCCACCGGATGTGACATCACCAGTCGGAGAACTCGACAAGTCGGACCTTTCGATAGAACACTGGCACAGCAGGTCTCCCCTGACAGATCGGAAGGAGATCAGCAAGCTTTCAGCCTCTGAACTCTCCTCCGAACACTGGACCCGGAAGTGATGTGCGTTACATCACTTCCGGTGTCACTGGGCACGTTCTCCGGCTTCAAGAGCCAGCAGAGGAAGCTGGTGAAGCAGATCTGTGCTTCCTCGGCTTCTTCTGGGTCCCTAGGTGACATTAGGGGTCTGAAAGACACCTGATGTCTCCATAAAGAGGACCTGTCACACCCTATATGCTATTACATAGGGGGCTTGTTATCCCCCTATGTCATAGCAATAAAGTTGAGTGTAAAAGAAGAAAAAAAAATTGTAGAAATTAAAGTAACAATAAAAAAATGCAAACAATTTTTTTAAAGTCCCCCGCCCCCCACGTGCACGCACATAGAAAGCAAACGCACTTCAGATACGCCTACATGCAAAAACGAAATAGCGCTACACATGTTACATTTCGCCGCACACGTCGGAGTGCGAGCGATAATTCTCAGCCCATCAATCACTGTTAGCACTACACTGATGAACGGCAAAAGCATTTATAGCAACAGTTTTTTGCTGTTTCATGGATGCAGCAATTTTAAGGCTTGACATGTTTTGTATCTCTTCACCCGACGTGACCCCCCGACTTTTATATGTACCAAAAAATTGGGTATCATATTCTGTTTCTGTGCACTAAATTTCATTTTAGCGTATTTTATCCTAAAAATACTGATTTGATAAACGTTTGCGCAAATACCGTGCGACCTACGAAATTGCAACTTGCATCTTTGTATTCGACGGGACCTCAGCTTTCAGAACATATATCATTGTTTGGGGGTCTGAAGCTGTTTTCTTGCCGAAAATTCAGATTTTATCATCATGTGTGTGCAAATAGTAGGAAATTGCTCCGGGCAGGAAGTGGTTAATGGGCGTTATTGTCACATTGTGACAGAAGCGATGACATCATCAGAGAGGATTTAAAGAGCCCCAACCGGCCATCACACAGCCAGCGAGCCAAACAGCTAGCCGTGATCGTATAGTGGTTAGTACTCTGTGTTGTGGCCGCAGCAACCCCGGTTCGAATCCGGGTCACGGCAGTTGAGTTCGCCAAAATTTTTTTTATCCCAAAAATATATTAGTTATTACAGTTTGTTGCAGCAAATAAGCTTACTGCCGAAAAACAACAATTACGTTGTTTTTTTTATTGTTCACAGTTGGCTGAGTGTGTCTGAACTCTTCTAATACCCCCAACAGGTCCTGTCTGCATGACTTCCTTTACCTTGCACAGGCGACATTGAGCCATGTGCGGAATGAATGGATGGATCAGCAGCACTCACATGCCCCCCCTCCCCTCCCCCGGGATGGACTACAGTTTGAATACAAATCAGTAAACTAAACCTGAGACTGTAGTCCACCCTACGATCTTGGAGTGGTGACTACTTTACAACACACACAGGGACCATGGGGAACAGACGTAGCCCCCCTCCAGAAGGAAGGACAGTGTCAGCACCAATTCAGAGATGATTGGAGGATCTACAGCCGCGTGATACACAAATAAGAGACATTGTTGTTCATAATTAAAGGAGAACTATGAGGTCAGTGTTTTCCCCTTAGTTCTCCTTAGGGTAACGGGAGGACACAAACTAGCGTCCTCCCGTCACCCCAAGCTCAGTATATAGGGAGCTGCAGCTCGCGGTATACTGAGACGCCGCAGCTGAAGCGGATCCCGACATTACTGTCTGGATCCACCCAGCTGCGTGACTGACAGCTGGCTCCGCCTATCTAGAGGCAGAGCCAGCTGTACCCAGAGAAGTGAGCGAACGCCGGTATGTGTTCCGTCACCTCCCGATCTACTGATCCGACCTGTGACAGTCTCATTGTCACAGGTCGGCTAGAACTATGAGGTGAGTGAAAAGCACCCCCCCTCCCCCCTCATAGTTCTCCTTTAAGGTCCTTGAATTGATTTTTAAGATTTATCTCCGGAGTTTAGTGTCACTTTAACCACCTCCCGTCCATGGCCGTTCGTGAACGGCCGGACGGGAGACTTACAGGAGCGGGAGGGCGTCTTAAGATGCGCTCTGGCCGGCGTCCCGTCCAGCTCCTGATAACCAGTGACGTTAGCAAGCTGGGTGGGATGACGGCCGGTGCTGGAGGTAGGCACCATCAGCACAATGGTCCCCCACCAGTGGCGCAACCAGAGTTATGGGCGCCCGGGGCAGAACATTTTTTTTGCCCCCCCCCCCCCCCTATTTTTTCCTTTTTTTTCAACCCCACAACC